TGGCACTAGCAAGTAGCGAGTGGCGCAGCGACCGACACCGACCTACCCCATCCTGCAACAGTTGGCAGTTGAGAGGCTGCCGCTGCGAATGCGAGGCAGGCAGGGGTTCCGCGCCGTTTGCTGTGTAGTGTGTCGGTGTCCGCCACCGTACCGCAGTTTGTCAGCAGAACACTTGCAAACTCTGTAAGTCACGATACAAGTCGAATGTTTCGCATGCTTCGCAAATCTAAAACCTCATTGGCAACCACCACCGTCATCACCATTGCGTATCCAAGGGGGGTATAATCATATCTGTAACGGTGCATTTAGCCTACGCTACGGCGCTACGGTGAGGCGACCCTTATCACCGAACTTGTGTAAGGTTCGAAGGGTTCCCTGTCTCGGATTTGGCCCAATGGTAGTTTATTTGATAGGCAATATGATGGCTTTTCTAATGCGCCACCAAATCCGAGATGATGAATCCCCCACACCTCGCGACCAAAGTTTGGTTATGGTCCACCGCCACAGCCCCAGCTGAGGTGCAGCTCGCCATCGCCTGAGGGGATTTCAGCCAATCGCAGTCTTCAAAACCTCTTGGGCGAGCCATTTGATAAATGAGCGATGGGAATGGTGTTCAATCAAATAAGAGGAAGTGGCGTGACGTACCGCCGCCGCTTAACACATGAGCGGCAGAGGTTAGGTTCGTGCGGTTTTTGCTTCGTCATAGTTCATACAGTTCATACGTTCATACGTTCATTCAGCGGACACGCATTTTTCACCATGGTATCACTTTTGATTTTACCCAGGTTATTACGACGATAGTTAAGTCATTATAATCGTTGAATTAAGACTTTATCAATGTGTTATGTTTGTACACCAACGTCGACCAGGAGACCAGGGCGGCAAGGCTTAAAGATGGTGCAGGCTCATATTTTCGCTGAATCTAACCTTTATTGGACCACTCTTTGCCTCAAACCGAACCAGTTGTAATGTAGGGCATTTCAATGCCCGTGGGAATTGCAGTATTCTTCTCACTTAGGAAAATTACTTCCTTTTCCAGCTCCACTGAAAAGCCCTTGCTTGTTCGTCCGGTTAATTACGTGCCGGCTTTACGTTCGCCTGACGGACGGGAT